AATTCTAGCTTTAAGAAGAAGATATTTTCAACTTACGCATATAGGTTAGAGAACAACTTTGTAGCAGAAATTGATGTTTAAGTATAAATTTTATTTGATTTTTGAATTATATTTAATCTTTTTGTTGTTTGCTAATTGTTTTGAGATAAGAAAGGTATCATGGCCAGGCGGTGGTGGCGCACGCATTTAATTCCAGCACTTGGGAGGCAGAGGCAGGTGGATCTCTGTGAGTTCGAGGCCAGCCTGGTCTACAAGAGCTAGTTCCAGGACAGGAACCAAAAAAGCTACAGAGAAACCCTGTCTCGAAAACCAAAAAAAAAAAAAAAAAGAGAGAAAGGTATCATGTAGCCTAGGCTGGTCTGGCACTTGCTATGTACCCAAGGATTACCGTGAACCTCCTGGACTTCCTGCTTCTACTTACCAAGTGCTGGACAGCAGATGTGCCCCTTTAAGCATGCCCAGTTTAATATGGTTTTGGGGATCTAGGCTTGTGCACACTAGACAGGAACTCTGTTAACAGAACTATGTTCCCAGCTGAGCTGGTAGATGGCCTACTTAGCATTCAGAGTCCTGAGTTCAATGCCCAGAACTACATAACAGGGGGCAGTCGTGTATGCCTTTTATGCTAATACTTGGGAAACAGAGACAAGAGGATCAGGAATTCCAGGTTGTCCTCCCTTTCTTAGGAAATTTGAGATCAGCCTGAGATACGCTTTAAAATAACTTAAGGTCAGATCAGATGTTTTGATAACAGTTTTGAGACAAAAAATCCTAAAATATAATCTAATGTTTGATGTGGGAATGATTTCTTACTAATAAAGAAACTGCCTTGGCCCATTTTATTGGATAGAAAATTAGGTAGGCGGAGTATACAGAAGAGAATTTTGGGAGAAAGAAGGTTAGAGGAAGAGTCGCCATGATTCTCCCGCTCCAGACAGACGCAGGTTAAGATCCTCTCTGGTAAGCCAACTCATGGGCTACACAGAATATTAAAAATGGGTTAGAACAATATGTAAGAGCTAGCCAATAAGAAACTGGACCCAGCCGGGCCAGGCAGTGTTTGAAAGAATACAGTTTCCGTGTAATCATTTCTGGGTATAAACTAGCCATGCGGGCGGCCGGGTGCCGGGGACGCAGCCCCACCGCTCCTATTTCAACAAATGTTCACAAGGACACATACCTAAGGTAAAAAATACAAAGCAGCCCAATTGTTACTAACTGATGTACTTTCCTTGTTAGGGTTGGTTGATAATCAAAGTGATGATTAAGTCCTTATACCCATTTCTGCCCTCAATCTCCTGATCTAAAAAACTATTAATGAGTGGGTATGTACCCTAAAGATTTAAAGTAGAAGTAACTGATTCTATTTCACATATAAATTTAGGTTTGTGATTCCTTATAAGATTACCTTTCAAGATAAGTAATAAAGTAATTGGCCCTTTCTTTGTAACTACAAAATGCAGCCTGCCAGTTAAAAGCCTGATAAGAACACCTTGCTTGCCCACACGGTTAAGCCATAACAAGTTGCTTGGGTAAGAATGCATATGAGTTTTTAGGATAATTTGTTTTTCAACTGTAATACAAAAAATGTTTAGTCATGTAAGGGATATGGAAAACATGCTGTTTCTTACTATTTATTTAGTATTCACTGAAATCATTCGTTTGAAAAACAAAATGTAACCATATTGTAATTTTTAAATTGCCTAAAAGATTTTGCTGGGTATATAACCTTCAAGGGAAAAAACAGAGATAGAGTTAGAGTTACAGTGGGCTTGAAGGAAAACATCAAGAATGGGAGAGTTAGAAGGAAAACATCAAAAACGAGAGCATTAGAAAGAAAACATCAAGAATAAGAGAGAAAGAACTAGAGGGAAAACACCAAAAATGTTTTCCAGCCCTTCATTTCCTTTTCAAATCCCATTCATGATGCTAGTTATAGAGGCACTTAGCGCCACCTAACTCCTGTTTCTGTGCGTTATCTTTAAAGCTGAATCTCAGTTATGCACATTAAATCTCTGTTAAACACTTTGGCAGGTATAAGCAGTTTTTTGCATTACTACTGTTCTATAAGTAAATGAATAAATAAAGTACTTACAAGTTCATCTGAATCTGCATCCACTGAGATTTCCAACATCATGTTCTCACCACGACTACTCTGCTGGAATACTTGAACACCACTTTTCTTCAAAAAAAACTTTAAAAGAATTAAAATAATTTAGTTTTAATTCTTATAATCACTCCACTTTTAATAAAGTGAAAAACATCTGAATTAAATAGCCACTGACTTTATGTTTGATGTGTTTCAAAGTAGGGAATCCACAGAAATATAAAGCCTTCTGGTCAACCCTGGTTATTCTGTTCTTGTTTATGTCTACACGCCAAGCATCTAATGATATTATTTTATACCTAGAAAATAAATCAAGGTAATTTAAAATTCAAACATTACAAGCAATTACAACTTTCAACTTTCTTTTGACTAGTTCATAAGAACCATTTTTGCTTTAAAAAAGAGAGGTGTGGGTGGTAGCATGAGTCTGTATTAGAGAGAAGCAGAGGCAGGAGAATGCAAGTTCAAGGCTATCCTGAATTACAGAATGACTTCTAAGCCAGGCTAAGCAGATAGTGAGACCCAGAAATACCACAACCCCCCCCCCCCCACACACACACAAGGTAGAAGAGGTGAATTAGTCCTTGAAAGAAAATGCAGGCATAGTGGTTTATACCTATAATCCCAAACAGGGAGACTGAGGCAGGAAGACTTGTACCGAACTCAAAGCTATTTGGGGCTACACAAGGAAATCCTGTCTCACAGGAAATAAACTGTGGTGATTCCCCTGCAGGCTTTACAGCAGGCAAGAAAAATTGATCCTTGAAGACTCAAAGACAAGAATGAAACTTGGCTCAGCCTGACTTTGTTGTAATTGGGGTTGGACCAAGACTTCTATAATCTGGCCCAGACCATTTTACTTTAGTCCTATTTAAGCACAGCACGATTTAGAAAAAAGTATTCAGATAACAATATGAACTCAGCCTCAAGTGCACTTTTTCTTACAAAGTACATCTGGCTTCCTTCACAGGAATGGGAATTGTTGACTCAGAAAGAGTGACCAAAAGTTAGGGTCAAGGAAGCTTGCCTGAGGTAACCATGACACCTATGGGTGTGAGGACTAGCCTGGCCCTGAGATAACACACAAGTCACTTAGGCTGCTGTAAAGCACAAGAGATCACACTCATAAGAATGGGTTTATGCCACTGAGTAATACTCTATTATGTATATATTCCACACTTTCTTCATTCATTCTTCCATTGAAGGACATCTAGGTTGTTTCCAGGTTCTGGCTATTACAAATAATGCTGCTATGAACACAGCTGAACAAATGCTTTTGTCATATGATAGGGCATGACTTCGGGAATTTTGCATGCAAATGGATGGAAATAGAAAACACTAT